GCCGTTTCGAAGCAAAGGGTCTGCCGTGATTCATGCTCGTCTTCCGTGCTTAAAAACCAAATGCACCACAGACCAATAAGACATCACAAGACAATCAAGTATCAAATACTGCACATGGTTTTTCATCATTATCTTTGACACATCTTAACACCTAATTAGATGAAACGCCTGGGTGGATCCGCGGGCTACGCATCAAACCCTCCACAAGCCTCCGTACCAAAGTGAGAGATGTTGACAGGTAAAAGCAGCTCAAAGCTCACCTTGAGGGGGCGTGCAATACCTCCCACCAGAGTTTTTTGGTAGTCCTGGTGTATGAGAGGTGTTGCTCCAGTCTTGGCACAGGGGTCAAGCTCACCCAAAATGCGGTATGTCTTCACAACCACGTCCTCGCAGGAGTTGCAATTGGGAAATTTGCATTTGGAGACCCTCAGCCATTGGAATCTCCCTCAGTTGCAGCGCCTCACCCTCAGCGGACGCTTCAACCAGCCCTTGGCTGCCTTGACACGACAGCCTTCTTTCGACAGTCTTCTTTCGCAGTTGCGGAGTTTGACCCTCGGCCATCGCTTCGATCAGAGCTTGGAACAGCTGCACATGTTGGTGAACTTGGAGTACTTGAGCTTGGGCGATGCCTTCAATCAAGGCTGGATGTGGGTGCCTTTCTTTGGGCCTTCCTCAACAAGCCCGATCCAAAAAACACCCACTCGAGAAGAGTTACACCGAACTCATTCTGTTGATTCTTTTGTTTTTGCCGTGCCATTTGACATGTGGAGATGCACACAGAGCTTCAGCAAAACACAAAACCAATGCAATGAATCACATCAGATCATATCTCCGTTGCACCAGGAGAGCATAGGAAAAACTCACATGGTGGGCACGGCAGACATCTTGGGATGGATTTGCCAACCTGCAAGACAGCATTTGGGAGGTCATACTTTAGAATCTTTCATTCGTTTTGCGCCTTCATTGATTCATACTCTTCTCCTAAGTGCTTTCTCAAACCAACCCCCCCAAAAAAAGGCAGGAATCAGCGTCGCTCGAGTCACCCACAGCTTGGAGTATTCTCCACACATCTCCACGTACAGCTTGGAGTACACTGGGGTGCCAAAAGTTGCGCTTCTTGACTTCTAAAACATCACAA